CAGCTCAATGTCGCAAAGTACAAGAGAACCACACCACCCGATGGCCTAGAAGTCTGTAGGAGGGCTAATCACAACATGTAGCTTTATCAACACTAGTATATTAAGTTATATGGTGTTGCTGGGATACAAGATATTCAAAAATATCTAAACATTTTTAACTCAATCATATTTTTTAATCAGACTTCAACTTAACTACTGTATCTTCGACATTATCAATATAGTTAAATGATATCAATCAATTATTCTTACATATCACACTCAGTAGCGTAGCCAGAAATATTTTCTATACTGGGCTGCTAGAACCAATTTGGTATACATGGGCTAAAAAATATTTTTCTAGTACTACATATTTAAATAAATCAAAAAATTAAGACTGGGCTGGAGCCCGGGTGAGCCACCCTCTGGCTACGCCCCTGATCACACTAACTTTAATTCATTATCCATCAACTCATATTATTTTAACTAACCATCACTTCACATCATCTTTCTCCTACTGTCATATTAAATCAAATTTAATTATTTTATTTTAAATATTATTTAATATACACACTAGCAAGTAATTATATCATTTTTTTTTAAATTAACCAAATCAAATCAAAAAAATTCAAACAAAACAAAAAATTCTTGTATCCAAACATATTAATTGTCATTTTTGTCATCATTGTAATGATTATATTATATGCGGTAGATTCTTCATGAAATGTTGGGTTTCATGTGAAATTAATTAATTCTACTATTAATTAATTAATAATAATGTTTCCTATATAATTCTCAAGAGTTCGCACACGTGTGAAACATCAGTCAAATGCCGGTGCCGAAAAGCATAAAAACGTCCGCTAAGTTGTTTTATATTTTTTTTTACTTTTTATTTTATCGCATCCTTCTTATATATTAATTCAAAATGTGTTGAGTTTCGGTGGCAGAATCTCACGCTTCGGATGCTGACATGACGAAATCTATGCTTCGTGACTTTGTTTTTATATTATTTTTGCTCTGGAATTAAATTTGGTATTAGACATAAATAACTTTACACATATATTCATTAAATCAACACTCATATTGTACATGGTATTAATACTAGTTAACATTAAAAGCGAAAGCAAACTTGGCAATGATATCATTCAACTTCATGAACTTATTCAGCAATAGTCAACCTCGAAATTTTTAAGTGTTGTCGAGAATATTAGTGATAAAGTTTTTTTTAAAACAATATATTATTATAAAATTTTGAGAAATTCGACTCGTTATGGAACCATTCTGTCGGAGTTTGTAACCGTTAAATCAACATGTAACCATCAGAGATAGTTGATTTAACGGTTACGAATCCGGCGGAATGGTATATTATTGCCATTCGTACATTACATTGTTATAATTTTGTTATTTTCGTCAATGTAATATTTAGTTGTTAATTAAAAATACATAAATTGCTGGTTTGAACAGATTTTATGTGCAGCACATTCAAGTTTAGTTGGATGCATATTAATTAGTCAAGATCAAATTTGGTGCAAAAATCGGCATTTAGAGCTCATATTGTTTTTCACACTTAAACGATGACGAAAGACTATAATAAACTATTCGTGCGCTTTTTGCTCAATTGCATCTGGTTTACATGTACATAAGACTGCATAAGAATGCCTAGCTATATTAAATAATTATGAGACTACTAGTTAAATTATTTTTTCTAATAAAAACGCATATATATATATAGTCATATTTTTATTTTTATTTTTATTTTTTTTAAGTATAACATTTAAATATAAGTATGGCTGAGCAGCAAGTTAAAATCAATTCAGACCCAAGAGCGCTTGGATGAGATGGCTTGGGTCTCTTCCAGCTTAACCAGTGGTCTCGTGTTCGAGCCCTGGGAATGCAGCAGTGTTAAAAACTCTTGAGGGAGAGCTTTGCCGCCCTTGTGGTCCTACCCGGCTCGATTCTGGATTAGTCGGTTCCCCTGTGGATCCGGAAACCGGAAGGTCCCTGTACCAAAAAAAAATCAACTCAGACAAAAAATATTTTTTATAAAAATAATCAAAATAATATGTAAGATGTTTGTTGTGTTTTTTTTGCTTATTTTCGCGTGTTTTATGTGCATTAGTTGAGTCTTTTTAGGTTCGCTTTAGTGTCGACAGGTTCATTTTATCGTGTTTTGTGTATTTTTGTTCTCGGTTTGTATTTTTGTGTTCTCGCGTATTTTTTTTTGCGTATTTTGGTGTTGTTTAGGTCCATATTATTCGAGTTTGATAAGATGAGGCATTTTCAAGACATTTTCGAGCCGTTCGAACCATGTCCGAGCCATTTTATCGAGCTATCCGAGCGCCTGAGAGAGTCATTAGAGGACGCGGACACTCGCAGCGAAATCCCTTTCGCGCCCAGCGAACCAATTAAGGTGACCTTGACACTTTCTGCAAACTCGCTTTCGCTTGCCGCGAGACGCATCTGAGCACCACCAAGCTCCTTAGCACTCGCAACCAACATCCATTCGCGACCGGCGAAACACGCACCACAGCAGCCCCAGGATCACATCCACAGCGAAACAGCTTTCGCGACCCGCGAACAGCACACCGGCAGCACACCTCCCTTGGCACTCGTTGCGAAATCATGTTGGCGACCCGCGAACGCCTGTTCATGCATTATTCCTTGCCCAAACTCACTGCGAATCCCGTTTCGAGACCGGTGAACTTCAGAATTTCATTAAATGTGTGTTTCTAGTGTAGCTATAAATATATATTGTGCTTTGTATTTTTTGACCACCCTCATTTCCCAACTTTTATGTTGAGAAATCCTCTCTATTTTTTCTTTTTTTATTTTTAAGCTTTGGTTGGGAGGTCCGACACTTGACATTTTCTGGCGATTTTTTCGGCAACTTCATTTTTGTTCAAAATTCGATCATTATGCATTATTTTCGGCTGAGCTTGCGATAGGATGGTAAATACCTTGATTAGGGCTTATCACTTCAAGTTTGCGTTTTTGAAATATTGTGTTGATGCTCGATTATTTGACTTTGCTTTATTTTCATTGCTTGTTCAAGTGTGTTAGGATTCGATACGTGCTTATCTAGTATAAAGGTCTCGAGTTTGCTCAAAGCGTGATGATTTAGTGTAGAAAAAGCTCGTGTTAGAATACCTAGGATTGCTTTGCTTGCATGTTTTCTTTTCGTTTATTTCTATTTTCGTCAAGTGATGGAGACTCCGTGCAACTAAAGTTTTGATCATTCTTCTCAATCTTGCATTTTTTTCATCATTTGCTCTTAGATTCTTAGTTTAAATTCGTGCAATCAATCCCCATCAAACTAGTAGAATGTGTAGGACTTTGTTTTCGGTTATGTTATTTTGACGACTAGGTAGTGAACGAAGCTCCGAATAACTTTAACGATCCGAGTTGGGTAGCTCGGTTACCATCTAAAATAATACAAACATAAGACTATATTAATAAGGTAATTTTTTAGTGTATTTCCAACAATTCTTTTATTGGAAACATTTTTCTTGTAAGAAATCATTGTAACCATATTTGAGAATTTTAAGTTAATAAAATGGCTACTAAACCATTGTTATCACTTATGATCAAACTAAACATTATTCAAGACAAAAGAGAGAGGATTAATAATTTGTATACAAATTAACTTGATTAAATTTTTCTCCACTATATATCTTGAAATAAATTGTTTAATTTCGAGTTGTTGCAAAACAAAAAAAAA